TTGTCTTCAGTGTGTCATGTCAGTCCAGCGAGATGTGTCATCAAATGAGAACGAATCATTGCATTCATTTCTCTGCGTTTATGGCCTACGACTGGGGATCTTCTGCGCGAGGCGTCTCAATGCATCCAATGGCAAAGTATTTCAATGCGATATGAAGGGGACTGGTTCTCTTTTATGTTCGATCGGAAACGGTCGTTGACTGAATCTGAATTAGACTTTAGAGAGTCTGCCAGCTTTCTATGTGCAATGGTGGAAGCTCTCTTGAAATTTCACTTGGGCAGTTGCCAATTTCTAGTATGATTGTCTACGACCTTGAGGCCTTTTGTTACTGCTTTAAAAAGGTACATACAGTGGCATGGGACAGGCGCTATATGGATTTATAAGTAAGTTAAAATTTTATTACTCTGGTCTATGTTGCTTAGGACTGTAGACAAAAGCTAAGTGTTAGATCGAAAATTCATGTAATAGTGTAGGGTATGAGCTCTTGATTCTGAAGAGAATCGTGGATGACGCGCGGTCAGGATCGGAACAAACAGACCCGGAGACGTGAATGATATCGGATGCAGATGATACGATTGCCGATCGCTAAGCCACCTTACATCCTACATAGCTTTCATCCGCCATGAACTATCGGGCAATGCGTTCCTGACATCGATAGATCTGTGCCTGGCAGAATGCCACCTACTCGATAAGCTCGAGCTACCATTGACACATTGCACACTTGCAGAGTATCTCTAACCTTCGGACGACAAGACAAAAAAGACTCGCAGACCCGTACAGTGAGAGTGCACTAAAAAGTCCAGACCTCATCCAAAAACCCCCAACTTCCCGTACCAAACAAACACCGTTTTGGCAATCAAAACAGGATAGCGTTTATATCAACGCATCACTTCTGTTTCGACAGTAGCTATAATTACACCAAGACTACGAAAAACAGCGTTGACACCTAACTGAAATCGTACCGATTGCCGTGATTCCTTATCTTTAACTATAACCCTAATATTTCCCCTGGACCCCTGGCTTAGTGTGTCATCGCGCCCCAAATGGTAAGCTGTAATGGCACTAAACGTTCGGTAAGCGAGGCCGTTTGAGGTTCTGCCCCTTGTAATGGGACCTGCTACTTTTATGGTTGGAGGGAAGAGTCTAGACGCGAGTCTTTTTTTTTGTAAGCGCTGGGTGTTTAGTTCTTATCGGGATGATAAGAGAAGGGATGTTTCATCTTGTAGGATTCATCTTGACTTGGGGCCCAGATTTGAGATGACTGGAGTTAATTAATGTGAGGATAAATGGGTGTCTCAATCTCTACTAATTATCCGTGATATTTATCATCGTCAGACCATGACGAATACCGTCTGTAAGCAGATGTCATCTCTTTCATCCGTCTCGGTGTGTTTCCCAAGCCTTCATTCCATCCTTGGCATCCGAGACCGGGAGAGTCTCACCCTCCTCGTCGCGACAAGACCTGCGGCGTGAATCACGCTATTCCCCACCTCCACACGTCAAGGTTTAAGGTTACCTTAAGCATACCTCACGAAACAACACTAACACGCCGATGCTATTTTCGACCCTCTGCTCAATTAAAACCTGTTTACTATAGCTAACCCAGATCTTCTATTAAAACAATGCCTCCGTCCAACCTGCTGATTTTTACTCATCATCGTTCGATTATTCTGTTCTTTGTTTCCTAAACTGTTTAATTCTTCTCTTCTTTGAGGCTGGCCTCTTTTTTGTCAAGCGGATAATATTATTTGTTTCAGTCTTTTGGGTACTCACAGCCAAGCTTTACTTTTTTGTTTTTGTTCAAGGATAATCATCATGGCTGGTTCCATTTCTCTGAGGGCTCTTCTCTTGAGTGCTTTTGCCTCAAAGGCGATTGCGAGTTGTGCTTATGGTACGCTGTTGCAGCCGAGAGCTGAGGGCGGCAAGGTTGAGGTCAACACCTTTGGTTACACCGGCAAGATCGTATGTACCCAGAACTCAGCCATGATTTGTACATGCTAACAATTACAGGGCCCTACCAACTGGGTCGCTCTCGATCCCCAGGCAAATGCCCTCTGCTCTACCGGCGTGAACCAATCCCCCATCGACATGGTCGCAGGCGCCAACGCTATGGTCCCCGCCAGCCAGCTCAGCCTTGAAATCCCCGACATGCTCGAGGGCGCCGAATTCGAGAACCTCGGTACAACCGTCGAAGTCGTCGCTGGAAAGGGCACCATGTCTTTCCAGAACAACAGCTTCACTCTCCAGCAGTTCCATTTCCACTTGCCTAGTGAACATCTCGATGCTGGCAAGAGCATGGCTATGGAGATGCACATGGTTTGGGAGAGCGCCGATGCTAAGATTGCCGTCGTTGGTGTCTTTATTGATGTTGAGGATGGTGCTGGTGGAAGCCCTGCTGGCAACGCTACTGCTCCAGCTCCTCCTGCTGCGACACCCGCTGCTCGCAAGCGTGATGGTTTCACCAAGGTTGTTCGCAAGAGTGAGACTGAGGGCAAGGATAAGCGACAACTTCCTGGTGTTGGAGGTTCTTTCTTCCATGTCAACGCTCCTACTACCGCTGCTACTACTGCCTCCAACCTTCTCGAGACTGTCTTCGGTTCAGTCGGTGAGATCTCTGAGCCTGGAACTCTTACCAAGACCAAAGGTCTCAGCATGGCTGAGTTGGTTAGCACTCTTGCCGCAGGATCTTTCCAAACGTAAGTCTCATCAACTACTACTTTCACCCGGACTGTGCTAACAATCGACATAGATACGAGGGATCTCTTACAACTCCCCCCTGCAGCGAGGGTGTCCGATGGCTCGTTTCCGACCAGAAGCTCTCCATCAAGACATCCACCTTTCACAGCGTTCAGTCCGTTATTGGATTCAACTCTCGATTTCCCCAGGGCGCTCTTGGTGAGCCCAACGCCCTTGCAGGAGTGGCGGCCTAGATCCGGCAATGATGATAAGAGGAAGAAGCTTGGTTGCGTAATAATATTGTCCTAGTATACAAGTCTGAGTCGCGCAGGTATACTGGCAGGTTCACAGTTAGGAACAAAGAATAGATTCGGTGATCATAACCTAGCCGTTGCTCTGTGAATATGTGTTTACGGCCAGTATTTAACGCTCCTCGTGACGGCCCTTTTGCGTGATTAGCGGTTCTACTTTAATGAAAAAGGTGCATTAGGACAACTTTATATACTTTTTCTCTGTCGGATTGATACAGTCAACCATGCTACAAGAACATCATCTGTTTCATGGACAGATCTACAGTCATAGGGATCGCCGAGCTGCAAGACAGGAGAATGACATTAAATATGTGGTCAAGAGATATCGAGCGCATGCGACCAGATTGTCGCCAATTGTCTTAAATATCACAAGGTACAAATTGAAGAAGAGCGCCACGAGAAGGATGCTGGATATCCCCCCCCAACGTGGTCAGCCTGAATAACCCCTACAGGAGGCTGGTGGGTTCTTTAAGTGGGGTCATACAGGAAATACAAGCTTAGGTGTCGGCAGAGGCATTTCCAAACTTGGGGTAAAACTTATATTCTTACGACTTTACAGTAGGCCAAAAATAAATTATTACTACTGTTATTTATAATAATGGTTTGATTAGCAAAAAACCAAAAATGGAAACCTGCGTATCGCAGGTGGCTGGATCTCTCCCGCCGGGAATTGAACCCGGGTCTCAAGCGTGACAAGCTTGCATACTGACCACTATACTACGGAAGACGAACAGGCTCAAGCCTGCTGTAGTGAGGGGATTGTGATTGGGTCTCCGCAATTAGAGTTTATAATGCCATTGTGCTGAAAACTCAATTCGATAAACTAGTTGCCACTATTGTATATAATTGTCTCTTCTGATAGTGCCAATCAATATGTCTATTAAAACGAGTGACTGCTCTAATGCTCTAGTCTTGTCCGGGGAAATTGCGCAGCGTTGCGTTGACAAAGTCGTCCGGTCCGCGACAGAAGATCAGCTTGGGTTCTTTCTGTGACGCATCGCCTTTCTTCGTTTCGACGATATAGTCAACGCAGACAGTAACAACGGACTCAAATAGCTCCGTGAACTCAATGTTACCACGTGTGCACCATCCGACAATTATTCCGCCCCACTCTCTGTCTCTTAGCTGCGATTCAAGTTCGTCAAGGTTGCTGCCCTGCGCGTCGAGGTCAAAGCCGATGTTGGTGAAGCGGGAAGATGTCGAAGCAGGGACTTTGGTCTCAGACCATTGTTCCTGGAGGCTCTCGGCTATCCCATAGCCGTGGAGATGGCGATTAAGGGAAATGGTGAGAATGGGAATAGGTGTTGAGGTCGCCATAAGAAGGACTTTTAAGAGGTTTGTTTACGATGTATTGAGATTGCTCTGTGGAGTCGAATGATGAGGGTTTGAATAAAGATGTGATTGTCGATATTGAATGACTTGAATATCAACCTCTGTAGCTTTTATATAGAATGATTTGGTTATTTCTAATATGCTGATTGTACCATAAGCTGATTGCATCATAGGTAAGCTGATGATTACAAATGTACAAAACTGTAGCGAGATACCGAGGTCTTTCCAAGATGCCGACTTAGCACTCAGCCCAACTAAAGAGAAATGATAAACAGGATTAATAGGCAACCTGATTTCTAAGAAGAAATCGCTGAATAATTCCAGGTATCTATGCTATTCTGTTATTGCAGTTTCCCAGTATGGCCTGGATCTTCCCTGTCTATGGAAATACTAGTGCATGTTCATGTTAGGCTATGGAAACCCACTTACCTTATAAAAGCCTTGCTGCCTTTTTATGTAATGCAGGTTGGGGACTTAAACGGACTTAGCATCGCGGCGCCGGTGTTAGATCCGGTTGTTGAAGAATATTATGGGGAACTCAGCCAGGCCTGACAGGCGACCAGTTGACACGGAACTGTGTTTTAGGCACTATAAGTAAGGTTCGGATACCCGGAAACTATTGTAGTAGCAAAGAGAACATAGCAGCGGACTAAGAGATCATTGCCTCCAAGTGATATTGTTATGGCGCAATTCGGTGCAGCAACGACTGGACGAGAGGTTGTGGCAGCATTTCCAGAACGTGTCAAAGACAAAACGTGTAAATATGCCTAGTCTTTTGCTTAATAAGCTGCTAGTTAACTGATTGAATTTCTAGTTCTTATCACAGGTCCTTCTCCCAATGGCATTGGTTCAGCAACTGCCTACGCCTTAGCAACCGAGTCTCCCCGAACTCTCATCCTTCTCGCCCGCTCCAAATCGAAATACCAATCTGTCATTGACAAAATTCGCGAAATTAATCCCGAAGTCAATGTCAAGTTTGTCGAAATAGACCTCACATGTATGGCAAGCGTCCGCAGAGCTGCTGAGGCCATACTTGCCGATAGAGACATCACTACAATCGAGGTGCTGTTCAACAATGCTGGTGTCATCACCAACGATCTCCAGCGCACGTAAGATGGATTTGAGGGTCAATTTGCAATCAACCATCTTTCGCACTTCCTCCTCACAAACATGCTTATGCCTCGACTGTTGACCTCGTCCTCCCAAGAGTCGTTAACATTTCGAGCCTCGGACATAAATACTACGAGCCAACGTTCCAAGATCCTCATTTCAATAATATAGATACTGAGACCTACAACCCCGCCGAGGAATATGCTCAATCCAAAGGAGCGCAGATCCTCTTCTCCGTCGCACTTAACCAGCGGTATGCGCAAAAGGGACTTCGATCGTTTGCTGTGCACCCGGGTAACATGGACAGTGGAATGTACAACCACATGAAGCCAGAGGTATTGATGGATATGGCACAGAGAATCACGGGAAGGAGTCTTGAAGACGCAAATGAGGCGCTTACCAAGACGTCTGAAGGAGGCTGTGCCACTGGCCTCACCGCTGCGTTGGTACCAGAGTTACCTGATGGTGTTTTCATGAATGACTGTCAGATTACTAAAGATCCTGAGTTTGTTACGGCTTGGGAACAGGATGCTGGGAAAGCAGAGGTCTATTGGAGAGTCAGTGGAGAGGCGGTTGGGCAGAATTTTGCCATGAACCTGGCATGATGTCTAGAACATCCGGCACCCAGTTAATAAAATTTAGGCTGAGGCTTAGCTGCAGTGAGTTACTGCCCCGAGTCCCTCTTTTCTCTCATGGCTTTATTGGGTTCTTGAGATGGATCGAGCCGAGCCGAGACTTGGCACCATTACATAACCGTGCCAAATGCTGACAATGCAGTTGAGTCAGCGTTGTATATCATCAACCTCGCCATCTCATATCTATCCAAGCTATTTTATTATCATTGAAAATCTCTATTAATATAATGTATTAAGAAAATGCTTCATTTTATGTAGACGACCAGCTCCGCCGCCTCCATCATAGCAGAAGCCTCGCCACTGCCTAGTTGAAGGTGCGATCAGAAGTGGAAAGATGAGGTAGCAACGAATTCAGCAGTTCTACATAGCAGGGCGAGTCGTCTCGCAAGTGGATCTCATGCAGAGTATGTATCCTTTATACTCTCGGGGACCTATTTCATTGATTTGTTTTTGAATCTTGGCATGATGCTCAGGCGGCCGCTTCAGCTCGGTCCATTCTTTCTGTGGAGTTGTTCGTAGGGGCAGACGTAGACAATGCAGAGGCTCAGACGGTTATAAAAGACCGTTGAAAACCCATGAGATGTCTGGCTTCCTCAACCTTACGCTCAACGCCAGCTCCATTCCCCTCCAGCTTAAGCTACACCTCCAAGGAATTCCACCGTTCGTCCTCCACCCCGAACAAAAAGGTTCGAAGCTAACTACCTCAAGAATATCTCCATCATGCACTTCCCAAGTCTCGCCGCCATCCTCGCTCTGGCAGCGACCGCCGCAGACGCCGCAAAGATCAACCTTGAAATCGGCTACTTCTCAACCATCGTGCCCCCTATCGGCGGCAACATCCCCGGCATCGGCTGCGGTCCGTGGGCCCTCGCCACAGGTGCCGACGGCTCTACCAAGAGCCCAACCGGCATGAAGGGCGGAGACGAGTGCCCCAACTCGGAGCTCAGGAACTTCTGCCAGCGGTTCGGATGTCCTCAGACGCTGAGATTCGGCGACACGCTTGCTTTCCAGATTCAGTCTGGTAGCGGTCAGAGTCTTACGGTTAAAGGGAGTGTGCTCAATGGAAAGTCGCAGACTGTGACTTGTGGACGATCTGTCCTGACACACTCTGGGAACAAGTACCGTACCAATATCTGTTACTTTGATCTTTGAGTAGCAGGCTTTATATGGCACTCAGTCTGAAAGAGGATGAAGAACAATGATTTGAGTCATATATACGGTTGAAAAAGACATATCACACATCAAAGATTCTTATCTTGTTATATTTGCCTGAATACGTAGGATCTTACAAAAGAGATATGCCTTATCTATAGCCGAGAACACAAAGCTCTAGTATTCTTTTCTATCTATCTTAACACGCTACGGATATTTGACCATCTCTCTCAAGCGTAGCATGGTTCTTCTTACAACCTGAGTCCAATATGCCAGTATTAATAGTCGCATGTTGTCATCTTTTCGCGGCAATTTCCATCATTTGCTTGCGGAATCATGATGATGAATGACCTCCCCGGACTGGAGGTCTAGTTGATACGCCTCTCAATGTTCACACGCATTCTGGCACTCCCTTACTGATCCACGCCCTCTTGTTCAGAGTCAACATCATCTGAGACCTTACTTCCAACATCCTGATTCATCTCAGTGGGTTTCTTCTGGCCAATGTTTTGTCCTTCAAGGTCAGGCCTGTCATTCGTGTTCATTTTGAGTCTCGGATCATGCTTATCCATGACTCTTGCGCGTCTACGTTCAGCGATAAATCCCTTATAAGGATGCTTACTCCTCATATATCTACGCCAGCGGGGCAGCACATTGCTGATAGATTCTGTGCTAGTAGCCCACTCAGCAGGGTATCGTTCTTCATCTGGCTGAGTTGGCGGCTTTGAGCACACGTCGCGAATCCACTCCCAGTCCTTGTCTGTGAGCATGGTAAGCAGCCCGGGATGGTCGTCGTGGAAGCGCTGCAATTGGCGTCCAAGCTCATATGGCATGAAGCGTTCATGCATGGTGGCGGAGTTGAGAAAGGGTTGAGTTGACATTTTGTATCTTTCAATAGACAGTGGTATGGGGAAGTTTTGGCAGAGAAGAAGTCGTATGCGTAGATAAGTTGCGGTGATTGAGGTAAGATGAAGAAGGAAATAGCTCTGGGCAAGAAGGTCCTTAAATAATCATCCTTAGAGCGGTAAGTTACTTCGTGTTCTGTAATAATTAATAACACGGCGTCTTTGTTTTTCTAATATAGAAGTTGAACATGGTATGTTCTTTAAAGTGGGCAATACAGTCTTTTAGCTAGACGGTTTGTTCACTATCTCAACCGCCCTCGAAAGGGTGACATCACTTCATTTGCAACGGCGATATCTTTGTTCTAATAACAGACTCCTCATCTTCTGACCTTATGTTGCTCAAGACGGTCACCCAAATTAGCAACAGCAAAGTGAGTTCAAAGTGGGCTGATAATATCCATTGAAGCTAAGAAACGTAGTATTTTATTGCTTTTCGTGTACTTTACTGGTACATCTACTTAGCCTAGACGCCTTGAAACACCTCTCTTGAGCTTACAGCATGGTCCCTTTTACAGCCCGAATGAGTAGTTTTGAGTAAGGGTAGGGAATTGATGCATTAGATTACATTTACGTCGGATTCAAAGAGTTCACATGAAAGTAGTCGTTCAACATATAGCTAATAGAGTCTTACACGACAAAAGTACCTGAAATATTTGAGAACACTTACTTATAAGGTCTATTTTTTCTATTCTTAATTTCAAGACGGTCAGAGGATCGTCACAACTCTCGAATGCCAGAGTCCTTCTTACCACTCCATCCCTCAGATGCCACCTTAGATAGTCGTATACTTGCGTTGGCAGCTTGTGGCAATCACTACTATTCACTATCGGAAACACCGTAGTCAACGCCTTCTGGTTCAGAATTGGAGCTGTAGTTTACCTGAACATCAGCATCCTGATCCATTTTAGGGGTCTCCTCTTCATCTTCGTTCCAGTTCCTTTTGCTTCTGATCCGCTCACCAGCATACCAACGCCTTCTTATCGGGCCCTTTAGTCGTTTACGAAGACTACTCTTTTTCTTCACCACCCCCCTGTTAGAAGGCATCGGTTGCTTTTGTCGTCTACGAGTACGAATGCTTTTCTTCTCCGTCTCCTTGTAAGGGTAAGGATAAGGGTAAGGGTGCTTCTTCTTCATGATCCTACGCCAACGATGTATAGCATGGTACCTGGTGCTTCTGTTGCTGATCCACTGAGTGGGGTATCTTTGCTCGTGCGGTTGAGGAACCCTTGTGTGGCATATTTCATCCGCCCAGTAACAGTCATCCTCGTTTAATTTGCGGAGCAAGTGAGGATGGTCGTGGCGGAATCGCCGGATTTGGCGCCCACGAACATAGGGACAACAACACCGAGTCATTCTGGCAGAAAGGGTCTTTGGACTACAGCAAAAACAAGAATTAGTGGACAGAAAGACATAGAAAGAAAGCTATTTAAATAAGTAATTTTGTAGAAAATAGCAGGACCATCAATTGCTTGAAGTTCTACATTAGCTTAGAACATGGCGGAAGATCAAAACAGAACATAGCATTTCTTGGATCCTCATGTGAACGCAAAGCTATGGCAGATGGAACAGGTGGTTCGTACTCCAGAATATCAAAAGGAGGGTATAACTCTAACGGTAACTCCGTTCTCTTTGGTTGTCAACCGCGCTCTGTCCATCTGAAAGTAGGTTGCTTCGGTCGATCATTCACGAAATCACATCATAGCAGACTATTATTATTAAACACGTCCTCAGTCTATTAGTAATCCTAACCATTTTGTACACTTATGCCCTTCATCTTCCAATGCAATCACTTCCCAGACTTATTCCAACATAGATGCTTTGTGTAATTTACTAGGCACACCTTGAAAAACCTCCCTCGATCTCGTCGCATGGTCCTTCTTGCAACCAGAAATATCACATACCTCATCCCACCATGAGTTATCATATGGGATCACTCGTATCAGTGGCTGTCCTTTCTTATCCAAGAACCTAGAAATATAGAGGCCATGGGGACCGTCACCTTCATTTTCTCCGTCCATGTTGCTCACCCAAAGCCATCTAGAAGACGCTGGTATAAACCCACTCTCTTCCCTTCCTCGCTCCTCCATCACCACGGTACCAAGCTCACCCAGTGCTAGAAACTGAGGATCCCAAGCACCCTCTTGCCAGGTGACACTCTGTATGAGATAGAGTGCCTCCATACGGACATCGTGGACTCGGCATAAACGGGCGATACCCGATAGTGGAAGCAGTATACCCTCGCCGAGAGTGATATGCCGAGGAACGCCATTTCGTACTTGCTGCTTGAGCCACGCCGTGCAGTCGTCGAGCAGAGCTTTAAATGTCTGCTCGTACCGGTCGTAAGACAAGTCGCACGGTACAAGGATGCAATCCAAGTGAATCTCCGATACAATACAGTGTATCTCCAGTAGCTTCAACCGGTGAAGATGGTCCTCGTCAAGGTCACTCTTGAGATAAGCCCGGATCACTTCACGCCATGACAACGCTTGCTTGTACAATATTCGACCACGTTGATGGAACGACTTGATGATATCCGGGTCTTTCAGTGCCACTACATCATGGGCCTGGCCTATATACGCCATCATAGCACTGTTGAACAACCTCCATCGACCGAGAAGGGACTTTGGCAAGTCTAGCCCATATACTGGCGGTTCCGTGGCAGAGACTGTGTTTATCTGCATGTAGATCGGGATCGCGGATATTATCTGTCGTGAGTATTGACACATCATCGAAAAGCAGAGGAATGTATGTTGAACAGACGTGATCTCATCCTTGCTGCCTTCTGTGCTCCTCTGTTGTGCAAGATGTTCGTTCAACAGGGCAGTAACACTTTTCAGTATGCTGTCCACCGACCGATGATTCCCCTGTAAGATCTCAAACAAAGCCATAAGAATCGTCATAACCGTCATGGTCCGTACAGAGACGTGTGCCGGGTCGAGCTTTAATCGCTCACGAAGACCCTGGACGCCCTTGAGGTAATGCCTCAGCGACGCAGCATGATTTCTGTTCTTGACGCTACTTGGGCCCCAAACCTTCAGAGGCGAGGGTTTCGATTGGACGATAGACTGCTTTGTATCCCGGGCGTCATCGGCGATGGCAAGGGTTAAGGCGCCAAGTGCTAGCACCAGCTGACGAATGGAGTCATCCTGATGCACACCAGTAAGAATCGTCCCCTCGCAGAAATCCATGTAAAAGCTCCCCGAGAGCTCCGGCGCCACGTGATACCGAAAAGCATCGAGATACGGTACACTCTGCCCATCGAGCCCCGGCAGCGTAGACGGAGCAAGCGGCAAGAACTTTACCGGCACGAGCTGAGCTGGTGGTGGCACGACAACAACCTCGTGCTTCGTAGGCTGTGTCTCGTAGCCATCGCATACGAAATCTCCACGAATGCACCGCGCACACGCTGGCTTGCCCTCGTCACACTTGACGCGCCGAGTCTTGCATGTCAGGCAACCACTCCGGACCTTGGGCTTGCTGAGGCGATAAAAGCGCTGCTTGGATCTTGCGTTTCGTCGTGGGATCAGTTGGACGGGGACGAGCAAGGGCCCTGCAGAAACGAGGGGACGAGAATGATTGGTCGCCATGAGGAGGGAGGAGAGTACGGCAGTGTCAAGAGGGTCAGTGATTACCGAGCAGGATTCTTATATCGGCACATGAGACGTCAGCAATTTAGGGCTGAAAACTAGCGGAGAGTGCCGTACAGTTTCTGGACTAGTCTTGTGGGGTAGTCGTCTCTAAGAAAAGATCTTTGGTACACAGCGATTTATTAATAAATACGGACGCATCTTCTAGGGCCCAGCTTTCTATGAGATTAGTCAGGTCAGCTCGCCGCTGTTATGAATATCAAATCAAGGAATGTCATGACAAATTTGGAAGATTCCAAACACATCTCGCGTGCAGTACCCGAGTGAGAGTCTGGTCTGACAGACGTACTACCACTGCATGGAGGAGCAAGAAGCTACGGTTAGTCTTAGCCAGTAGATAAGATGTTCTTATCCGGCCAATCACCTACTTGAGCTCGTAACCCCACAATCGGAGTGCCGCGGGTGCAAAATGGTGAGGGATAATAACCTAGACTATATCTCTTGAATTGGTGAACGAGGCTTTGAAATAGCGTTATATGTATTTTGAATAAGTAAATATATAAGGAAGACTTCTTCCACATGTTTCACTGCCTATCAAACTTCTTAAAACTGCGCAATATCAGATCGGGACAAGCACCGTTTCGCATGAACACACAGGTACTACAACTCAACTTCAGATCTGACTTACTATAGGTTCTTAGAATGTTCTCCCTATGGTCTTGCGGCTTGCTTACCAAATACTGAAGGGCTATGATTGCATAGGCCGTTCTTTGACGAACTACTGGTAGCATCATAGTATTCCGTAGTCGGGAGACAGATCTAGACCCCGCCATCAACTACCGTGGAGATCCCCACTGTTTCCAGCGAGATACAACTGCCGCCAAGATCAACTCTATTTGACGGCATTGGGTGACGGCTTGGAACTATGGATTGACATGGCCATTGCTACGCTGACTGATGTCTATTTAATGCCTCATGGATTTTGGCTCCTAGATTCACGAAGCAACCGCTTCATCACTTCATTGCTGTTTAGCTCACCATGTACGGTCTCAAAAGCACACCGACTTATTTAGTCCTTGCCTATTGCTTGTTGATCTCGCAGGCTGTAGCCCGGATAACCTATCCTTCAAATGGATGCGACCTCAAGCCCGACAGCCGCATGCCATATGGCTCATGGGACTCTCACCTCCACGTACTGGACCCAGTTCGTTTCCCGCCTGTTCCAGGCTCATATGAGTTCGGTACATACACAGCATGGGATGCCACTATCGAAGAAACTCGGCTCGGTTGTTCACACATGGTTCTGATTCAGCCGTCCGTCTATGGAAATGACAACACCCTGCTCATCGATACTCTCAAGGCATTCGGGCCGGACAGAGCCCTTGGTGTTATCGTGTTTGACGTGGCCAACACATCGACTGCACAGCTTCGAGAATGGGATGATCTCGGCGTTCGTGGTGTTCGGTTGAATTTCCAGTCGACGGGCGATGCACCGCCAGCTAAAGAGCTCCGAGATATGATGCAGCGGTATGCAGATGCTATTCGACCTTTCTCTTGGGTCTTGCAGATCTATATCGCCATGAAGGACATACCCGGTATTGAGCCCGTAATTCCAGATCTGGGAGTCAAGGTCGTTATAGACCATCTAGGCCACCCAGATATTCCAAAGTCGAACTCCTCTGGGACCGCTCTCAACCCGCACAATTTGTCAGGATTCGACTCCATGTTGCGACTCTTGGAGGGAAGTAATACTTGGGTGAAAGTGTCCGCTGTCTATCGACTTTCAAAATCCTCAGGACCCTTGTACACTGACCTTGATACTGTCATCCTTGAGCTCTTCAAAGTAGCACCATCTCGAATTGTCTATGCGTCGGATTGGCCGCATACTAGATTCGAGGGACTTGATATCAAGCCTTGGACGGCCCATCTACTTGATCTGACAGAGGGGAACGTGGAACTACAAAATCAGCTGTTTAGGGACAATGCACAGGAGCTGTGGGGCGGCAATAATACAATAGCCAGCTCAGCTGATCCTTGACATTGAAGCAGCATGTCCATACAAACCTGAAGGTTCTCGTGCTCACATAGAATGAAAAATCAGTTTTACATAATGACAGAGAATTGAGCCCTCAATCGGGTTTATCAATTTATAAAAGTTGGATCTACATGACAACTTGTAGCTTATTTTCGTGTTTGATAGACCGAGGACTGGCTCCATGATCGCCGTGATAGCCGACACACCGCCCTCGCAAGATTCTGGCTTGGTACACGATGTTCCACTTACAGTATCGGTATCTTACTACCATAAACACGAGGAGTCCAAGTGACTGTTTCTACTTTGCATCAGCTCAACAGTAGTATGCTACTCGCTGAACACACGCCCCAACTCGACAAAAACCCAGCCAAGTGCGCTCGGGCAGCACAAGTACAGCAACAGCGCATCTCATTCAGCTGCAGAGGCATCTGTCTGGAAATGTCCTCGGATGAGCTTCAAGTAAGCTTCCAGCCACTGATTGTTCACAAAAGCCTGATGGCCCTGATATCTTACCAGGCCCTGAAACACACTCGCAGCATCTGACAGCAACAGGTCCGCGATCGGCGTGGCTCCCTTGTCGTTGTTTCCGAGTTTGCTTTCCGCAGCCGCTAGCATCTCCTTGTATTCCTTGAGCTTCGGCTTCGTCCTCTCGATGCGTTCGATTGCCGCGGGTCTCGTCTCGACACACCCAGGCGGCTCTCGGTTCAGCCCCGTTAAGACTGGGTACTGGGCGACAACTTCGATAGGGGCCGCCATGACGCCGTCAAAGTCGATGACCCCGACGATCTGGAATGATTCATCTACAAGAAGGTTGTGGGCTCCGAAGTCGCGATTCACAAGGCTGAACGACTCTTTCTCGGACTTTTGTTGACGGTACAGGGACATGAGATGTTTGAACAAGATCGGGTTTGCGAAGGAAGAAGCTGTCTGGACGTCGAGGGATGCTTGATGTACGCAGACTTGAAGAGCATGGTTTGAGAGATCATCGTAATACTCCAGAGCAGAATTCCAAGGTCCCTTGCCGGTCTCTGTCTCTGGGCCGATGAAGAATTCGGAAGTCTTTTCATCATAATAGAGACTCCGATCTCATGGAACTTGAAGGAGGATAGCGTTGCTTGAATCTCAGCCATTTGCGTTCTGAAAGCCAGATCTTGGTCTGGCGTGCCGAAGAGTCCACCTTCATATTCATTTGCATCTCGCAACTCCGTCGCGACAGTTCCGTGAATGTAATCCATGAGTATGTACGGGGCGCCAACCTGGTTGCTTGCATCAACGCTGTAGGAATGAACTGCAGGGACGGGAATTGAGGTCTTGGCCCTTTTTATTTGTGACTTCCTATTAGCACGACTCCATCCCCAAGCTGTGATTCGAACACACTTGAAGAACTTCATGCTGGCAACCTCGACCCTGAGAGTGCTGGCCACATCGAGGGCTTCGCGGTCGCCGAAAACTGTGCGGAGCTCTGGTAGTCTCACCCTGGCAACCCAGCTGGTGCCGTCGGTGAAGTCAATGCGGCGAACCATGTTGAAGTGGCCGGTGGAGAAGTTTTGGCTGAAAGTGCAAGGGACTCCATTTTTGAGGGCTGAAGAAATGGACAAGAGGTGATCCCAATTGAGCTTGGCGAGGACTGCTAGGGCGCGATCGTGGAGCTCGTCGCCTGGATCGTAGGCGTCTGCTCCGATCCAGGAGCTGCTTCCAACGAGATCAACAGTGGCGTTGCTCATTTTGAGAGGGACGAGAGAGATGTTGGAGATGATATGAGATGAGGAAGGGAGATTGGTGTGTGAGATGTCTGTGAAAGGACAGCAGAGGGAGGGTTGAGGTGGCCAAGTCTATCACAAAGAAATGCAATGCGGTTGCACAAAGAGAAAAGTCTGTTCCAGGACCATCTTTCCCGCTCTATGCTAATTTAGGAAGATGTTATTCGTAGGGAGTAAATTTCTTTTACTCTTCTAGTTCGTACTTTATCAAGGTCTGATTTAATGTAGACTCAAGTTTACTGAAAAGCGACTGCAGCAAACGCTTCCGACAAACACCCCAGCCAATATTGAGAGGAAATAACCAACATTCATAGTCATCACTGCGAGCATGCTAGACAAACATCAGTCAGAGTTTTGATTTAGTGACCAAAAGAACTTACAGTAGATAGCTCACACCCGCAATTAAAACATCTATCGCTCCCAGCATCATAGCCTCGTTCGCTCTCCACGGCCGATTCTCAATATCACTAGCTCGGGACTCCACTAGTAGACCCTTCGTTCGCCTGCGTCTGAGACCATCCCTGATGCTGTAAAAGTTGACGCGTAACGCAAGCAGCATGCGTAAAATACTGGCAAAGGCGATGAGGAAAATGCAAACACCTGCATATTGTCCCCTCGTTTCGGGTGCAAAGGACTTTGTCCAAAGTAGTGTCGTGGTAGAAGTGAAGAAGACCATGTTCATTTGCTCCATGTCCATAGCCATAGAGCTGGAGCTGGAAGTTGACATGGGCATGGAACTGCCTGTCGAAGTGGCCATGTCCATTTTCATTGAGCTCGAATCCATTTCGTCGAGAGATCGTAAGTTGCTTGTGATCAGAGGTGCAAAACTTCATTACTTTATCTACGCTTATATCACCGCGGTAGCGGATATAGTGGTGCCGGGAATAATCTTATCACCGCCGATAAACTTGCTCAAGCCTGCTCAAACTTACTCAGGTGCCGATTTATGCGATGATAGCGTGGGAATAATTGATGATTTATTGAGAGGTTGTCCAATTAGAATTAATGCTTACGGAACTCGGCACAAGACCCTGTTTATGCTACAACGGTTGCTCTGTCAAGGGTTTTACATATCTACGTCGCTCTATATCAACAAGCCGAGACCTAGATTACCCTGTCCCTTGAAATCCTTTCATGATCTCCGCCATATATCTTTCGTCGCATTTGAATTGATAAATCTTGGCTCGTGGACGGCAGACCATATCACCTCTCTCTGCTCTGGTTTCTACGCATAGCCAGCCTTTCACAATATCCCTTTACAGATATCTTATTTTGGGATTTTCTCTTTCAAAGATTTATCGATAACACGCTGCGGTAGATCGACCGCACATGGATTCTGCAGCTTGGCTTACGCCCCCAGTTCAGCTGACTGGGAGTCGTGCTTTCACCTGTGATGGCTTCACCGAAGCTCAGTGCGCATGGTACATGCACAGATGGCATTTTTGGTAAGAAAGAAACCAAACGAACGGAATAAATCAGTGGAGAGTTCTATTTAACGTTACAAGGTACATCGCGGATCATGTCTACACTCTCCCTACAGTAGCCTTCTTCATGAGTGGCATTGGACTCTTTACGATTGGCCACTTACTATCCTACTACATTATTGGCCTCGTGTTTCCCAAATTCCGCGAGCCAAAACCTTGGCGCATGCTTGTAGCCATCATCAGATATCTCTCATATCGTGGATTCCATGTTGCATCCCTTGGTTTCAGCTCAGCTCCTGTTGGTGTGCTGGGATTGGGACTCGCTGGAGCCGTCTTCTTTTTCTGTAAGTGGATCGAGCAGTCTCGACACGGTGCGATGGTTAATGTGGGATAGGCATGGACTTGATCCCTCAGCCGTATTACTGGCCATCGCTAGACTTTGGCGGCTCACCACCGTTGGGAACAAGATCCGGATGGTTGGCATTAGGATGCATGCCATTTGTATTGTCAGTCCTGCATTACCAACTCTGGCGTCTATATTCTTACTAATGTGTGATAGCGCTACGGCAACCAAGACAAACTGGATCACCTTGCTTACCGGGGTCTCACACGAGAGACTCCAAGTGTTTCATCGCTGGATAGCCTATGCCTTTTTCATACTTGCTCTCATGCACACATTCCCGTTTATTGTATATCACATCAGATTCCATGATATGCAGATGCATTTCAAGATGAGCCTCCTGTTCTATTGGACTGGTATTGTCGCCTTGGTCTTCCAAGCCTGGCTGACCTTTGCGTCGCACAGTGCCATTCGGTAAGTAAGTCACGACATCCGGTCTGATTATTAGCTTACAGAGAAACTAGAAAGCTATTGGGGTATGAATTCTTCAAGGCGACGCACTTCTTTGCTGTTGTCATATTCATGATCACTTTCTTTTGGCACTGCGACTACACCCTGACATCTTGGTAAGTCTTTCGTATCCATTCTTGTCTGTCACTGGCACTGACTCTCGATTATAGGCACTATTTCATAGGAACAGCTGCCGTGTATGTTCCCTGCTACGTTTATCCCTGGCTACGAACTTGTTTCGAGTATGGTGTTCGAACTAAAGCCCATATCAAAGTGGAGGACAATGGTTTCGTTCGTGTCACCATCCCCGCCAACTTCACATGGGAAATAGGACAGCACTGCTTCCTACGCTTCACTGGCTTTGGACTTACACAAGCATTGTCAGCGCACCCATTTACCATTTGCTCACTGCCATCATCATCCCCAGATGAACAGTCATTCCTTGTCTTTTATCTTAAGAAGCACCGAGGCTTTACTGCAAAGCTCTACGAGCACGCCTTACAGAACCCAGGAGCTCAGATCTCAGTGCTGGTCGATGGACCGTATGGGGGCATCAATACACAGCGGCTCGTGAACAGCAACCATCTTGTTGTCATCGCGGGAGGGTCGGGAGCTGGCTGGACCTTGCCTTTCATCGAGCAGTATATCGCAGCCCAAACAGGCCAGGCTGATGAAGACTGTAAAGAAGGCCAAAGAGAGAAATGTCCGTTCTCATCACTTCGTGTGATACTAGCAAGCCGAGACATGGAGAGCTGCAGCTGGTATCGGCAAGTTGTAAGCGACACGTTGCTCAAGTACTCAGACAAAATGATCTCAGGCTTGCAAGTGCAGATCCATCGCACCAGTGGAGGCCTAACAGAATCAAGCCTACCGTCAAACAGTAGCTTCGTCCCTGGCAACAAAGAGTCAGCCAGTGAAAGAGCAACAGAAAGTCAGGTATCATTTGAGGAATTACATGGTCGACCCGAATTGCCAGGAATTCTGAAAAAGCTGGCAGGTGGAATGGCATCTACCGACTCACTTGGTGTATATGTCTGCGGCCCGGATACTATGCAGAATGATGTACGAAACGCTGTGGCATCTCTAAACTTGAATATTCTTGGGGGTGCAGATTCTGGGGGAGTGTACTTGCATTCAGAACACTTCTCTTGGGCATGAGCGCCAATTTGAGCGCCACCTCCAATTAAAGAAAACAAGGCTCTGAAGAACGCGTTGGGACTAATCTGCGCCTTGCGCAATACCAACTTTCAAGTCATTGGCTAACAAATTTCACGTGATGCGTACTGCGTCAATAAACAATAATAAACAGGCAATTTAACTGACTATTTACCTACGACTCAACCTTTGCACAAACTTGCTTTCACACTATTCTACCAAGTCAACTCCTAACCTGCTGCTATTTCGCTGATATCACTCGCGCGACATGACTAAGGATAGCTTGACTGGTCCCAGCGAGTCTGTGACATTTCTTCGCATTCCCCCAGAAATCATCGTCGCAATTGTGTCAGAGGTATTAGCCATCGGCGACAACTTTGAAGCTAAACTCCGCGGGTATGTCTTATCGAATAGCTACAAGCATTCATACGCTGATACCTTGCTAGCGAAAATTCTGAGCGACTCAAAGTCTTGAGATTGACGCACCGGAAGTTTGCCGACTGTAGCTATTTGAACAAGTTACTGTTCACCAACATACAGCTCGAACCAACACGCACCAGTCTTCAACGTGGCAACTTTTCACGCGTAGCCGGTTATACACGATCAATCACGTTTGAGGCATATGCAAGCTGGAAGCTAGTGTCAGAAACATGGGAGCGATTGATCCTTTTTGACATCCCAGACCGCCCCCGGAATATTGGAATGTGGTCTCACAGGAGTCTAAGGCCTATAATTGCTGCTCATGACGCGTACATAAACGACGCGTTAGAAACACAGAGATTGCTGGAGGACCCAGATGGCGATTTGATAGAGACCTGGACCAACGTCCTCAAGATGGTCGGGAGTCGTCTTGAAAAAGTCACAGTCGCCAACAATACAGACTCCAAGAACCTCTACTTGCAAGATCCCGATCCGACGAGGGATTGGAAGAATTCCTGCTTTCGAATTCCTGATACGGAGATCGAGCCACATGAGGGCATGACGCGGAGATCTCGCGATGAAGACGACAGAGAGAATGCCGAGTACGCCAAGGGATATGCCTGTGCCATAGTAGGCGAGAGACTCTTCAACACAGTCATCACATGTCTATCAGCTTCAGGCGTTGCGATTTCAAGCCTCTCAACCAACTTATTCGTTTCGGGTCATGTGGAGTGCACGGAGATCCCTGGATGGCGACAACTCGATTTGAGCAAATTAAAGCTTCTGGATCTTATCCTTCTATATCCGTCTGTACCGTATCGATTGAGAGAACGAACATCCATGGCTTCTTTTCTGCACAATGCACAGAGTTATATCCAGAAGAAGCATGGGAACATAGTGCATGACTTCATTGACAAGTGTCATATGACGCTTGAAACACTCAGTCTCGAGGACTCAATGGACGGCGGTCTTGAAATAGTCTGGCCAACTCGCGCTGCGACATACGATCTGCCAGCACTGCAAGAATTCGACCAGGCAATGGAGAATCACCCTCGCCTTCTCCATGACTGGCTCCTCAGAATGAAGAACTTACGCTCGTTCATGATCTGGGGAGGATTTCCTGAGAATCGCTCCGCGAACTGGCGCCATGTGCTTGATGCGGTTCGCGACCATCCAAATGTATTAGGTCCAGATCCGAAGGGCCTTCGCTTTGGAATATCCGGCGATACCGATTACGAAGGTATCGTATGTAAAGATAGCAGCATCGCATCGCCGAGAGAGGTACCTAACGATGAATATCCTCGCTATCTATTGGAAGCCCATTTATATGGAGAGATAGAATATAGTCGCAATGTTGCTTTGAGAGAAGAATTAGGCGATTATGGTCATGGGGATGAAGACAGTGACGAGGAGGACGAGGATAATGATATGGAGGGGGATTATGCGAGCGAGGAGGAGGAAGACAGCGACAGAGAAGAAGAATAAATTACATTCTATTTGTCTAGAAGAAAATTGGTCCACATCTTCAAGAATTCTGACTCTCATTATCATCATCCCAATCTTCATTGTCACTTCCTTCCTCATCCTCTTCTGAATCAGTCTCTACCATGCCAACATCCCAATCGTCCATCAAGTATCGTAACCCGTGATTATCCTTAAATCGCATTTCGCCATAGAAATGCTTCTCTAAAGAGTAATTTTCATCCATCAAGCCTTCAGGATCTGTGCAATGAGTATGCCTTCGTGTAGCAATACTGCTATCCTGGCAAATCACTCCTCTATATGTCATCCTAGTCCAATGAGCTGACTTGATAGATTCAAACTCTACAGAGAGACCTTTTGGGCTTGGGCCTTTAACATTGGGGTGGTCGCGAATAGCATCGAAGATATGGCGCCATTCGACGAACAAGAATCCTCTTGCTAGTCGTATGCCACCGAGTTTCAGGTATCGAAGATCACAACAGATATAAAGCTTGCAATACGTGACATGTCGCATTTTTGGAGGTTGAGTAGTCCTGCACGTGTTGCTCCAAACTGGACGGAGTCAAATAATAAAGCATTAATGCAGCCCAAGTTGGAAAAGCGCCGATGTGTCAGTCTCAGGTTCTTCAGCTGGCGCCGTATGCTTCTTTCCATTAGAGTTAGCTCAACTGGCTTCTTTTTCATGCCAAGATTCGAACGCAAACCTATCAATTTGCAACCATGGGTCGTTTACTAATTCGGTCACGATTTGCCCAACGATTTCAGTGGGCAGCCGAATGAAGATGCTTGGATTGGCCATTTTGGTCAGGGCATGCGGATGAACTGATCGCGAAGATGGGGGGTTGTTTTCCCTAATATTTTGAGGACCGTCTTTCACATGTCATATTTTGTATATGCGTGCCTTGCGAGCAATTGCAACCAATTGGTTACTGGGCTGTTAGTGGCGTATTGTGTCATTAACCTCGGCGTCACTGCAAGGTCCACCAACAGGATCCGTCAGGCAGCAGCCCCTGACAGAGGGATTATTATCTACTATTAGGTAAGGTAATTTGATACCGCCTTAATCCTTTACCCCGTATGTACCAAAAGGCGGTAGGTCCTCCATTTTGCTTAAAGCCCTTCTTCATCATTGGCTCTCTGATATCCTTTCTCCTCTCCCAGACGAATCTGGCAATGGCCCTTATCACCATTGCGAACAACCGTGGCACTCTTCCCCCACAGTTCAGACTTGGAAGGTTGCTGATTTAAACCATTTGCGCCGTTTGGTGGTTTGGATCCAAGAGCAAGAACCAACATGTCTCCGAAATTGTCCCAATCAGAGCCTTTCCAAGGATCCTTCGATACAAAAATTGAAAGCAATTGTAACAATACCAAGAGAACATGTAGAAGAAGGAAAGAAAATGATAATGGTATACCGTAACTACTCTCAAAGCGATAGGCGTACGTGCGGTAATACCGCGTGTAAATTACCTTGTCTTGCGTGACATCGTTTGACTGTGTACTTCCGGCATAGTAATTGGGCCACGAGACATTGTTTCCCGCTTGAGAGATCGCGTCGGTAATATGCAGGCCTATATACCGCTCGTGACAACTCTTCTTAACGGCGCTTCCACAAAATTCTGCAATAGACCGAAAGAATGATTCATTTGAGAACGAAGATATGCCGTCTAACCACTTGTCATCCATATAGATGACGTCACTGGAGTTTTCCCGAAAGATTTCGGGTATTGGTCCTTTGACGTGGCTCAAGGTGCGCGAATGCGAGGGTTGTTCGATCCATGTGCTCGCCTCAGACCAACGCGCAAATATCAGGCAGAGTGTGTAGTGGCGCTCAGGATTCTCGTCGCTCCCAAGCTTGCCTGTCGTAGCAAATAGTATGTTACCGCTCACTACCCAACCTTCGTATTGTGGAAGGTCGACGAAACGATAGTCTGTAGAATTGCTAGCACGCAACTCTGCAAAGGCCGAGGAGGAGGAGTCAAGCGTAAACGTTATCTGACCGTGCTTTCGTATCTCGTGTGGCTCAAGCAAGAACGGATAGGCAAAGTGAAACTGGAGCTTGGTCTTATTCTGGACTGAGCCTCCAATACATTGTGTAACAACAAGGGGCTGTTTCCAGGGATGTTCAGCTCCAGATCCCCCGATTTTCTGATTAGAAGAAGTAATCCAAGGTATAGCCATATCTTTTATGTCCCTTGAGGAAGCCTTTCCTAGCTCCGACGCTACAAATGACAACGGGCTAGTAGACACTGTAGGTAAATCGAATTTCGCTGTCGAGATATAAGAATAGAAAGAGCTGTTGAAGTTGGAGTAGCTGATGTTTTGCCACTCGGGCCCGTGTGTGCCAAGGGTATATGAGTCAGCTCTGAGAAGAGTATACAAAGGTATGGTAGAGGGACCTATGATGTCTCTGAGGTACGGTCCAGACTCTGAATCAAGCCTTGTTCTGTACTCCATGTGAGGGATCCACTCGGCAGGTTCATAATACGGCTCGCCCCAAAAAGTCGAGTCGTAGTGGTTGTCTTTCCACCAATCCTGGCGAGGGATCATGGCAATGGCGGATAGTGGATTTGCTGCAAGGCACAGAATGGATATCAAAAAGATCAGACCGGCTGTAACCCGTCGATACTTAACGGCCTTGCCAGACTGTAACGTTGGAGCCCATAGCTGACGGCTGATGAGATATTGCAGTGGTGCTGAGAGATTTAAGGCAGATGGCAAAAATCCAAGCGGTACGCCGATGTCCTGGCGTTTCAGGCCGTGGGATAATTGGTGCAGAAGAATATCTCCCAAAGACACTAGGATGAGCGTTTCGTGGCCCTTGGCTGCAAACTGAAGGCCGTTTAACGATTCAGTGGACGGGTTCACCCAGCGAACTCTAGCGATGTAGAGTGACAGAAGTGTCATTGTGATTACGACAGGCGGCAGATGGACGAGCGCAAAATAGCGGAGTGCTGAAAGTCTGCTGCTTTTGTGCGTCGATTTCTTCGATTTGGTACTCGATGTCGTTGATGAACCAAAGAAAGAAGGGAAAAGACTCAATTTCTTTCTATTCTGGGAACAGTTTCCAGTTGGCGGTTTATCGATATTGGGTTCATCAACCAGTCGCGTTCCTTGCCATGATGGCTTATGGAGGCTTGAGATACTTCCTTCATCAACCTGCTCCCAGTTAGAGAAATTCCAAGGTCGTTCATAAAAGTTTAGTACCGTTGGTGCTGAGGAACCATTGCCGATGTTGACATTCCTTAATGTCTCGAGTTCATGGTCGCGCTCGCGAGACATCGTCGTAGGCTCGTAGTTGGCGTCATAATATGAACAAGAGAATATGAAAGCGATCAAACAGTGGGGAGGGGTATGATAAAAGGGCTGTTCTGATGTTGCTTGCTGCAGATTCTATCTGACGTAGTTGCCAAGCAACGTTGGATCGAGGTGCATAATCAGGCTGGGATGTTGTCAGCTGTGATTGGTTGACGAGATATGCGCGATGAGAACAACACCAGAATCTGGATTTTATGCTATTTTGTTTTGGCCCCCAATGTAAGCTGAAGATTGAGCCTAATCTTGGATATTTATCAGTTGTCACCTTGGACCTAGGTAGAGCTGCTCTCTTCCATTTAGGGTGCACAACACAAACTGTAATGAGTGGTCAGATCAATATCAGCATTCAAGTCAAGCCAACATGAATCTATCTCCTATGGGTATTTGTGGAGTCTTACATTGCGACGTTCACTTAATTACTATAACCTATGTCTATCTTTCAAGGATCGTGTCGCACTGGGTTTCCATTAACCTGATGTTAAGTATATAACAAGACGTACCCTAGCTACACCATGGGGACCAGAAGATCATTTAACTAAGCTACACCAAGAATGAAGTTATCAGGAAGCCCAAAGCTCAGAGATCAAAGGCATTTATTCCCAAAAGAAGCAATAGCCCCCAATGGCCTCTCAGGTGACCGTTTCCGAGCCCCTCAGCCGCGTTAGTCTCTACTGGCGCAGTAGCAGAAGGTACAGCAGTGACTGTTGATGACGCGACTTTGGTGCTCTCCGGAGTTGAGGTAGTCTCAGCTCCACTGTCAACATTGGTTGGGGTTTGTGTAGACTCCAGCCAAGGCTGCGCCATCGTACCCGTATGTGGGAGAATAGTTGACGCCTTTTTCTCAACTAGCACCGACTTGGGACAGAGCTTGTCCATACGTTCCCGTTGGGTGACGATCCAACTGTTGGCGGGGCTGTAATTGCTGATATCGAATCCCCAGAGACGTCGGACGTAGCAAGGCTCGCAGAGGTACTTGGCTGGAAGTTCTTCGTCATCATCCGTGTCGGGAAACGAGTCGATAATAGCTGATAAAATTAGCTTCATATAAGTAGAAGAATTTGTTGACGAACCGTTGCAGTATTTTCCGGTCTTAGCATCCTTATCGCAGATCTGTCTTCGGCCCTCCATCATATTGCCAGGACGAAATCCCTCTGGCTCGCAGTATTGGGCAAAAGACGCGGCCCATTCTTTAAGGGAATCTCCGCACTTTTTGGCGCAGATGCTATCCGTGATTTTGAAATCGTCACCCTCCTCAATGGAGCCCTGCCACCCGGTGCTTCCCGCATCATCGAGACTGGCATCGCAGTCGATGTCTGTCAGCATGACCTTTGCGCAAGCCTCAGGCAAGTCGTACTCCTCCACCAATCGCTTCACCTGATATTCTTCGTAAGCAAGAAATGCGCTCGCGCTCCAAAGGAGTTGAGAGGAGAGAAAGAGCGTGATGAACTTCATGGTATGATACGTCAATGGTCCAACAACTGAAAGAGTGAAATTGAAGGACCCCGAAAGGAAAGAATAAAACGATAGCCCTTCAAGCACCTCCCTACAAAGAGCGATTTCACCTGCTTTATAAGGAATGAAGGCAATTGCCTGTGATCATGACCGCGGCAGAATCATGTGTCACTCGCATTGTTTTAATGGGTCTACCAATAGGACCTTTGAATTAAAATTGTAACTTAGGGGCCAAGAATGCCAAGTCGGCTGAAAAAACACTCCGACCGAGCTCAATCCCTGTCTAGCGCAGTTCACGACCCTTTTTTGATGTAACAAGCTGTTGGTTGTTGGTAGCAAAAACCAAAAGTCCCATCGTTATGGTCTGGCTTGAACGCGAAGTGGATCTTGAATTAAAAGTACAGCGAGTCAGGATTTGTTTCCTAATTTATGCTTATTAGGCAGCTCTGTCATCACGGTACCAACAGCAGGAACATGCCGGATTCTGCTTCCAAGATTGCTGTTTGGGTCTTCGAGCAAGAAATGGGTGTCTGCTGGATGGCATATGCACCAGTCAGTTGGGACTCTGGTACTTGGTAATCATATTAATGTATTTATATTATTTCTTTTATTATTCATATTACTTAATATAGCCTTTGCTTTTTTACTTATTCCTTTTTTTAGCTTGCTTTCATTAGCTCTACTTAATCCACATACTTAAAAGTAGACATAGTCTCTTATGAAAACTCCCAAATCTGGATCGGAATACTACTATTAAGAGATGGGGGTATCGCTGTTACACCTTTTGCAATGCCAAGATGAGCCCGAAGAAAATGCCCCATCCTAGCAACCCATTCCCTTCTGCTCGAGAGATCGACACAAGTGATATTAACTTGCTCAAGACACAAGCCGAGAGTAGGCAAAACCTGTAGAGTGACGTAACCTAACACACTTGGAATCGCTTCAGCTCTGTAATATTGCGGATCTTGCTTAACGATATTTACGAAAGTCGAGAGGCAAGATTCACATAAGCTATCGGTAAACGAAATTAGCTTGGATTCCGTTTCGGCCTGGCTGAGAATCGGATTAGGCGTTACTTTGCTTTGTTCAAGTATGCCATTGGTGAACAAAAGGGCCTGGTTGAGGATAGTTCGAACCATCCAGTAGAATCTCCAAAGGATCTGGCTCGAAAGTGATGAGTACGTATGCAAATTGACTGGCCTCCACGGTGCATTGAGTAAAGGTCTTAACCACTCAAGCTGGGTATCGATCAAAACAGATCCAATCGCATAGTTCGCAGAAGGGGGCAGAGTCTTAGCCCACTCCTCAAGCTGCTGATCCAAAGCCAAGGCCTGAGACGCAATGGCAGATAGTTGTGTTATATCTTGATCGGCTTTGTAAGTCAACAAAGCGGTTCTCCATTCCATGCACAGACATGCAGACTGATAAATCAGATGTGCATGCGTGTAGAAGTAAGGCAGCCGTGGCAAACATAGCTCCTTTACTGATTCCCAGGATATCGAAAGGCCTTGGCCAGTCACAAGGCCAATATGAATCTACCAGTAACATAAGCTTTATTATTACACACAAAGTAGATACCAAAGGGCGGACGTACCATTTGCATGAAAATAAGTATAGATATCTCGTACTCTGCAGGACAGTTTATGATTTTGCCTTGCCCGCGTAGATCTAATAAGGTACAACCTCCGCTGATATGTGACACCCAAGAGCCTTCGAGCGCAATGGACTCATCTACCAAGCCCTAATGCAAATCAGCAAATGGCCTTTAGATGGTCACAAACAACCAATGAGTTTAGTGCCGCTTACCTCATATATGCTAAGTAGCATAATAGAGTTCATAACTTCGTAGTAGTGAGAGGAATCAATAACACCATGCATTTTATCTCTCAGCATGTGTATTGACTCTCCATATAGCTTAGTTGCATCCTTAAGTGCTTGATAAGAGTTGAATCTCTGCCCGTAACTAGCATTGGCTAGGGCATTGACCGACTTGTGTAGCAGGCTGTCTACGCTGGAGTTCAAGTATATCTGAGGAAGGCTGCTATACCAAGATAAGGTCTGTCCAGATGGGATATTCGCGTGAGTCGACCAGTCAAAGAAGAATCTTTTTAGTATCTGTGCTTGAGAGGACGCAGGCTATAGAGAAGTAATTAGTTGATACAGAGTAGACATAATACACCAGTATCGGTAACCATACCATAAGGAGACTGGGCTTCGTAATTGCCAATCCAGTATCAGCACTGGAATTCGCATCCGAACTATTATCAGAGTAATTTTGTGATTGCGACTTGTCAGGTGTATCTTCATCAGGCCAAATACAATTTTGGGCAGTTCGAATACAGTATTGGCAAGAAGGCTTTGTCTCGTCACACTTTTTGCGTCTTGTGCGACAGACAAGACAACCAGATCTGGAACGGGGGTAGTTCCGACGATGTTTGGTTGGATATTTTGCTCCCTTGAGGGATAGTTTCTGTTGACAGTCCATGTGTGTAATGAGATTAGGCTTTAATAGTCGTCGTTATTCTGAGCTATGTTGTTGTGGGTATGGCAATCAATGATGTAGTACTAAAACACAGAAATGTAAAGGAGGTCCAGCTACTTATTAATCGCGAATGGGTCGCCAGCAAGTATGGTTGGTCAAAGCTCTACTGAGCGAGAAAACTTGGCAGAGATAAATAACAGTTCGGCACTTGTTGAAGCCTCTATATTTTTTTTAGCTCGTAGCTACTGCAGAAAAAGACCTAGATGTGCATTAGTACCCCCGCAAACACGGCAAGTTTCACGATGTTTCAAGAGAATGTCGCGTTAGTCAGGTAAAAGACAGGGGCTCTTCTTATCTAAGCGCTTATCGCTGAGGAGCGTGTGACTTAAAGTTGGCTAAGTTAGGATTTAGTGTTGCATTTTGGCCAGATTGGAATCCACTCCCAGTGGGTCTGGAAAACAGGGATCAGACACAATTGGTCGAGAGACGGCCGCCCTTGAACACGTCTGTCTTTGAGAATATCAACAAACATCTTGCACGGTTTAATGCTACTCGAGAGTTATCATCAGAAACGCATTGCCATTCTGCGACTGAACACATAGGATCGCCAGATCTTTGCACCAAATTGCAGTCCGAAGGATCTTTTGGGCCTTTAACTATCAATCAAAATAGGGGCTAAGAGGGGTAAATCTTGCTTTCCGAGTTCGACGAACGTACTCCGTAGTCACCAAGGGCTTTCAGATAGATACACAGCACTCCTTGATTCTCCTGAGTCCATTCGCAGTGCACCCTCCGTAGTGATGCCTCTCGGAGGAGTAAGCTTTCCCCTCCCTCATATTGTCGATTCCGTCTCTTGACTTGAGAAGGACTGAAGAGACAATGCCCAGCGAAATCGGGCTCAACTGGCTGCCGCCAGAGTCATATCCCCGAATCACCTATAGTTGATAATTAATTTAGGGTTATGAAAAGCTTTGACTTAGGGGTTTTTATTATCACTGCAGGAAGACACTTAAATCCTCCCGACTTGTAG